TTTAGAAAAAATCAAGTTTGAAGAAATAATGTAAAATAATTACTTACGTATAATTACATATAAAATTATGCATAATTATGTATGAGCAATTTTTTTTACATCTTTCCAAACTTGTTTTTTTCTAAAACAAACAATCCGAAAATTATCCCTTTAATTATTTTTTATGTTTTCACGTTACTATTATTATTTCTATTACACTAAAAAGTAATTTTATAAAAGAAAGAAGGATGTATGAACATGTATGGACATATTTCAAATATAATTATACATGTTTATGAATATTTATGCGTGTTTATACCGAAACATTGGTGATGATTGTGCTGTGGTGCATCGACGACCTTTTATGATTTATAAGGTATTAATAAATCGAAGGCTTTTTTCTTTCAATATTTAACAGATAAGTTAAGGAAAAATTGTCAATGTGAGCCAACACAAGATGTTCCTTTGTGAAATATCTGTCATATATTATCTAGAGTATAAATTACAGACGTTTCGACATTATTATATTGTGTCCTCTTTAAATTCTAGATAGTTTAAGACTTCCGATAATAAATTTACCTCATAAATGTGTGTAAAGTAGTAAGATGGCCTTTTTAAAATTTTGAATTATATTTCAGTTTTCTTTTTCACTCACAAATTCAATTATTAATTTATATTTGTAACATTCTGTTGCTTAATTAATTTTTGTAATTATTTATTTGCAAATTCTACAAACATACGTTAATTTTTCCTTTTGAGTTAACAATTCGCTTATTAATTGATATATATATTTTTTATCGTTATTGATTAATCTCTATATTTAATGAATTGCAATTTTGACGAGGGTGGATTATAAATTGCTACATAATGTTGAGCATAATTTGACACGTTTAAAAAAAAAAAAATTTTACTGCGAAATCCAGATTTTAATTTTGACGCATAAACTTTGGTATTAAAAATTTGTTTCAAACTACAACAATAATTTACTGTTCTTATATTTATTGTATCTATGACTGAACATTATACATATACGAGTATGTTAAATATGTTACATACGTAAGATAGGTTAAGATCAGCTAAGTAATAAGAATGTACTGTCTTTATATTTTATATTTATTATGACTTAATGTTTATCGTTAATGCGACCTTTGTCAATTTTAAAATTTCATTAGACATACTCGTCACTCCAGATAGAATGGACGAAGTTTGAACAAAGCTACATCGATTGTATTATAAAATGTTATTTGAGTTTAGTGTGAATATTAATATATTATTCAAGGTTTGATGAGATTTGGCGATCGTGTGGGTGAGTTACTCGTTATTTTAATGGATGAATTCAAATATCTTATATATATAAATTTAAAACAGATAACACTACAGTTTTGGCAACCTGCGAGTGGCAACTCTACATCGAACGATCGTTGAAATGTTATTTGGTTAAGAAATTTGCTGATGAAGATTCCAAAGAGAATCGAAACGTTCAAGATGTCAATATTTCAAATAAAGATGAGATCAACACATCATATGAAGTAACAAATTTTATTTATGAAGATTTATTGCGCACCTTCGCTCGCGCCGACTCTCATTAGCCCACATTTAGGTTATTTTTTGGTATTTTGTAAATAATATATACAAACAAAATTTTTAAGTAAAATATAGAATGTTCTAAATGAAGTATATGTTTGAGTCTGAGTCTTACCTTCAAAAAATTTAAATAAAAAATTAATAGTTATCGATAAAATGTAACTAAATAAAGTTAAAAAGTTAAGAATTTAAAATGTAACTAAGTTAAGTTAAAATTATTTAACTTTTCAACTTTTTAACTTAACTTTTAGCTTTTTAACTTGGCACTACCCAACCTTGCAAATAATTGTTTACTTACTTCAAGAAGAACCTTACTGGACAACAGCTATGTTACTGGACTAATGTAACACAAGATTGTAATCAAACTGCGCCTTGAACCAAAAGATTTTTATTTCTTGCAGATTTTCGCCGGGCGGCGAGTTACCGTGCCTTCAACCTGTCCAATTAAGGTTATATAGTATATACACATAATTGTTAGAACTCGGTCAGGACAGGTTGAAGGCACGGTAATTCGCCGCCCGGCGAAAATCTGCAAGAAATAAAAATCTTCTAGTCTACTTTAATCTATTATTAATCAGGGCCTCCCAACTCCCCTCTTGTAAACGCGGTACCACCGTTAGTGGTGCCCTCAGCTTATGACTCCCGGAAAAGCAGAACTAATATTCAATATGGCCGCTATATATATAGGTTGTCATGGCATATATATATCATATATAGGGTGTCTGATCCAGTTTGATCACCCGCAATCAGGATGCACTACAAGATCAAGCGTTTTATAAGCGAATCTACCGAAATCGGATCAGACAGAGAACCTGGATCAGACACCCTATATCTGCTTTTCCGGGAGTCATAAGCTGAGGGCACCACTAACGGTGGTACCAGGAGTTACGAGGCCCTGTTATTAATAACGTGGAAAAACCGCGATATGAGGGACGTCTGGAATCGACCATGGAATGGAAAATCACGAGTGCTACGTACGCGGCTATACTCGACGCCTCTGAATCTAAAGGTTTCTATTGGAGGAACTAAAGCCTTGTGTTCACGATGCTAGAAATCGGTCCGAGATCTCGGATAGAGAAAAAATTAACAAATCACATTTGAACAATTTGATCACATGACCATTGCGATTGGTCAATTCTTTCTTCATCCGAGGTCTCGGACCGATTTCTAGCATCGTGGACACAAGGCTTAATAGAAATATTACGGAAATAGCCGATTTCAGAATGAGAATGTACTTAAGTACGTCTTTGCCAAGTTGATCTCAAATCAAATAAAACTTACTTGAGCAAAATCTTCTTCGTGAAGATCGTCTTATTTCACAACTATATGAAATATATCAATCTTAAGACGATCTTGATTGAATAAGATTGACTTGGGCCGGTATTCATAGTCGGGTCTTATATTTAAGACCGTCTTAAGTACAGTCTTAAGATGTCATGAACCAATCAGAAGGCCGCATTAGCGACTTAAGACATTAGGGTATATCCACACATACTTGCATAGCCGCATAAACATATGCATAAAGAAAATTATCCAATTGCAGTTCTCTTTTAAAGTCGTACATAAAGTGTGATTGGATAATTTTCTTTATGCATACGTTTATGCGGCTATGCAAGTTTGTGTGGATATACCTTTACTTAAGACGGTATTAAAATAAGAACCGATTATGAATACCGGCCTTGGTCAAGATTAACTGGTAAAGGTGCAATAAAGGTCGATCCTCTTAAAAATCGATGAAATTATGCTCATTCAACGCGTTTTTCCATAAAACGAAAGAATCTGGTAGAAAAAAGCGCCTCTCTGCCCCGTGAACCGAGATATTAAGCGTTAAAGTTCACGACTATTCAGGTTAGAATATCTGTCATACCGACTACGTGTAGTGCTACAAGTATGCCTTCTTCATGCTCTTTGACTTCATGCGCATGCGCTTGGTTTCGTTTCAGTCAGAGTGCACGAAATTTGAAATCAATGCTATAAAATAAATTAAACGTATGTAGTAGTGCTTAGACAGTGTCCGCTTGGAATATTTGTAACCCATGTAGACAGTGGGGTGTGTAAACAGTAATGCTTGGATTCGGGCGGTTACGCCGCCCGAACAAAATATAAGTATCATATCCTACCCGCTTGGGGCCTAACCTCCTAGAAGTTACAGCTGAGACAGTGTCCGCTTGGAATATTTCTAATCCATGTAGACAGTGGGGTGTGCGAGAACAGTCTTTTTAACTAGACAGTAAAAAAACCGTTCTCACACCCCACTGTCTTCATGGGTTAGAAATATTCCAAGCGGACACTGTCTAAGCACTACTACATACGTTTAATTTATTTTATAGTATTGATTTCAAATTTCGCGCACTCTGAAACGAAACCAAGCGCATGCGCATGAAGTCAGAGAGCATGAAGAAGGCATACTCGTAGCACTACACGTAGTCGGTATGACAGATATCCTAACCTGAATAGTCGTGAACTTTAACGCTTAATATCTCGGTTCGTGGGGCAGAGCGGCGCTTTTTTCTACCATATTCTTTCGTTTTATGGAAAAACGCGTCGAATGAGCATAATTTCATCGATTTTTAAGAGGATCGACCTTTATTGCACCTTTACCGATTAACTTAAGTATTGACTTGAGACTCGACTATGAATACGGCCCAAAGAATTCGTAACTAAGAAGATAGTCTTAAGTCTATGCTTATTTTAAACAAGATGTGTTTATCATGTCAAGACCGTTCAAGATATGTTTTGAAATAAAATCGTCTTCAATAAGCTTTAACTTGAGATTTTACTCAAGTATCGTCTTATTTTTCGACTATGAATCTAGAGGACATCTTATGACCGTACTTAAGGCGGTCTTAAGAATAATTTCTAACTATGAATACGGCCATATGAATATCGTGGCCTATGAATACCGACCTAATACTCTTGAGGCATGCGCAGTTGTAAAATATTATTAAGTTATCATTTTCTAATTTACCGACATTAAAAAATTTTGAAATTAAATAATAAGGAAATGAAACTTGTGTGAGCGACAATTTTTCTTCTCGGAATATACTACGCATGAATATACACAAATTTACAAAATATATAGGACAATACACTACCTTGTCTCTAGATAAAATATTATCTAGAGACAAGGTAGTGTTTTGGCGCTAAGAAAACGCATAGCGTTTTTTCAGTAAACGTTAAAATGCTTTGTTGAAATAATAGACACATACAATAAAATAAAAAAATTAGCATTTTTCACACCTGAAAAGAAAAATTTAACATAATACTCAATCATTATTTCAAATTTATTTTTATCAATAATTATTTCGATAATGAAGCATTTATGACTTGATATTTATAAGAAGTTTATTTTCCTTTTTATCCAAAAACATATTCACAAAATTTTAAAATATGACTTATATATATTTACGTGCTTTGTTCACAAATTATTCATAATTTGTTGGAAAATTCACAAAATGTCGTCATAGCTAAAATAGTACACGCATAATAATTTGGTTCTGATAAGCTATACTGATATTATCACTGACTCATACTAAAATTTAGCGATATGCTAAAATTTAAGCTTGTGCTGACTATGGTCTTACATGAAATTGCGCATGCAATTGAGTGACTTGAAAATATATTGGCGATATGCAAATCGCGAGCATAGGAATAATTATAGTCTCTATTCACTGTCAGGTAGAGAGAAGAAAATAGGCAATATTCGTTTATAAAAGGAATGCAATGTGATCAGCGTCGTCTTTTGCAAGTTCGCTTCTATTTTGGTTAACTCTCGAATATCTTAGTGATGCCATATAAGTGTGTTTGTAATTAAAGAAACTAAAAAACCTGCAATATTTTTCTCGGAAGAACAGTGATCGTTCAAGAGTCTAAATGCGTGTACATCTGCTGTTAATTTTGTTCTTCGCGAGCGGTATCTTAGCGCGAAGTGCTAGAAATAGAAGGGATACTGATCTGGTACATGAATTTTTTGCATCATAATAAATTCTTTTAATTTACCTAAGTTATTTAAAACTATTACTGATAATATATATTTAACTGAAAAACTTTACCATAATTTGAAAAACTTACTTTAAAAACAGAAACAATTTTTCTGACATTTATCAAATAGCGAATACTTGCAGATATAATAGAACAGTTTATAATAATTTTATCACACCTCTATCACTTTAAAATTTTTCTTAAGGAGGTAGTCGAGTGACAGTCACTTCCAAAAGTTAGTCTGTACAAACGGTTAAACTTTTTGATGCAATGATACAGCATTGACCAATGAGATCGCTTCACGCACACACTCATTGTCCTGTACCATTCGTGTTGACAAAGATGTGGCAACGTCCTGTTTCCCAAAACATACCTATCACTGTAACTTATAATTCATATTCCAGTTTTTTTACAATATTTTATCCGCATAATTCAGAAAAACACTTGTTTTAGTTATGTATGATGTGTCATAATATGCCATGGGGGAGATTCCGTTCGGTTGAATCGAGGACGTTGCCACATGTACGCAATCCCCTCTTCTTCTGACGAATATCATTATTTTCATATCGCTTTTATTAAAAAAGTATGTGGCTACGAGTCACCAATTTTGTTTATATCATTGCTAACATTATTATATGCAACATATCAATTTTTTAAAAAGTTCGTAAATTCCGATCCCTTTCATATCAAATTTAATGTGCGTTTCATGACGGCATGGAATAGGGCTTACATGTTAAATTCGTGAACTTTGAAACGAAATATTTCGCTTATCCTGTGGCTACGACATCTGAAATTTTAAGGAACGATTGTTATGCATACGATCAACATATGCCAATTTTTTTAGAATTTTCGTAAAATTTTCAATTTACTCGACTACCTCCTTAAAATAGTGTAAATTTATTTTTATTTTTAGAACACTGCACAATAAAAAACATTTTATACTTGTGTTAAAACTTGTTCTTGTCAAAATTTTTGTATTAAATTTCTAACACATCCGAGTATTAATTTGATATGGTATGTGATTATGTTAGTTGAATATTTTGTGTTAAATTGATATTTAACATTTCTTAGTATAAAAATAACACAATTTACGAGTAAAAGGACAAATAATATAAAAATAATATTTTAAAACAAAAATCCTAAAATAAATGATAAATATACGTGTTAATTTTATAAATGTTTATTGTATACTGAAAAAATATACTTCCTGCACAATTTGTTTCCAAAATGTGTCAGAATGTTTTTATTAATTTTATTAACTTTTTTGTATTAACGTTTTTACGTTACGTTTTTGTTTTTTTTTCTAATAATCATCTATTTAATAATCGTCTGATATTAAATAAAAATTTGAATCATTTAAGACACATGAAATATGTTTAACTCGACACAAATTTTCCAACTGTGTAACCTTGAGTAAATATTGTTTCTGACATTTTTCGAATTTAAGTCTCCATTATATAAACTAAATTTCCTATTATAAAATAAAAATATTTATTCAAATAAAATGTAATAACAAGGCTAAGGTGCCAAACCAGTTGTTAATGCTTAATGTGTATTTACAAAATTAAAAATAAAAATAAAAATAATAAAGTTGACATTTATTAATATTAAAAATAAGACGTACGTTTCGACCTTTTTACATCAGGCCATCTTCAGTGTCTATAATAATAATTTTTAACTGCCTTTGTGTAAATTGTTGTATAATCGGCAGATTTCTGTCTTGGTTGACCATTTAGACAATAATGATCCTTTGAATTCGCACCACCGAAGACTCATCAACCTTATTGTACGAATACATTTGTGCGTCTGTAAAAAATCAATGTACTATTGATAGGGTGGACATTGAAACACATTGTTAAACGATTGCGTATGTAATGTTAATTTATTTGGTGACACTGAAGATGGCCTAATGTAAAAAGGTCGAAACGTATGTCTTATTTTTGATATTAATAAATGTCAACTTTATTATTTTCATTTTTATTTTTACACAGTAAAAAAAATGTTAATTTTAACATTTTTTTACATGTCCCAGGAGATCCACTCTAAATTTTAAGTTCAAGTAACTCATTCGTCTTGTGTTATTTATTAGCGAACTAGTAATGTTAAATAATTGGCACAATATTTTACATTTTTATTTGTTATTTTGACTTTAAGGGTGATTTAAAACTAACATATAAAATAAGTAAAGTACGTAGAAGAGTAGTTGCAGTAACTCGTAAGAAAATGTTAATAAAATATTTTGATTATTTTAAGATTTACTTTAATTTTTCTTAGATGTTAAATTGACTTTGAGATATATAGATTAATTGAAACAATTGTATTAAAAACACTCAAAATAATATTCCATTTTTAATTGACATACGCAATTGTTAAGTTAGAAAGGTGACATGAATCTAACACATCAAAATGTTAAAAAAATAATAACGTATCAGTTGTATGTTTATTTTACATTGAAGTAATAATCAAAATGTAGTAACACAAGAAAATTTTAACATATGGACGCACGATTTTTTACTGTGTAATTTTGTAAATACACATTAAGCATCAACAACTAGCTTGACTCCTTAGGCTGAGTTTCCACTGAGTGCGTCACGCGTCGCGTCGTCGAAGGAGAGAAAGAAAGGGGTTGTGTATTTATATAATCTTATCTCTTTCTCTCTTTCATGACGCGACGCGTGACGCGCTCAGTGGAAACGTATCATTAGCCTTGTTATTACATTTTATTTGAATTTATTCGTTAGAGCCTATATCGAAATTGAATTTTAAAATTTAAAAATATTTATGTAGTTTTTTTAGAGTTTTGTATACATCGAAATATTTTATGCAATTTACGTCTAAAATATTCACTTATCGATTAGCTCAAGTTATTTTACATATCCCTTCTTGATTTTATATTCAAGGATACCGATAAGTAAAGTTTTTTCTTACATATTCTCATCGATATACATATCTAATTGTTTCACAGACTACATTTAAACTTCCTGTCATTTCTACAACTGAGGCTTATAATGGAAATAAGACAACGGACGTTACTGGAGATAGTTCTGATGAAACTAATCATGGAAATAATATTTTCAATCATCCATTAAGAATGATATTGAACCTTATTAAATCAATAATATTAGTCATTAAGAATACATTATCGACATTTTCAAAAACAGTAAATTCAACGAGTAACTTTGTGGTACGCGCTATGCAACAACCGGTAAGCGTAATATTATTTATTTAAAGAAATAAAATTACTTTTCTTTTTTTTTTTCATTTATGTATTGTATATGTGTGTATACGATTCAACATTTAATCTTCTTTTTCATTATAAATATCAATATTTAAATAATTAAAATTTTATGTGCAGTTTAATGAAATATTAAGGACGATAATCAGAATCCTTGAGTGGTCATATACCAATATTTTTAATTAAAAAATGATAACATTATAAAATTTTTTCAAATTTTGGTAAGTAATTCGTGAATATATATAACTCATCAAATATAAATGCCTTTTGTACTACTAATGTATGTCATTTTTTATAATAATTCATTCATTTCGGTTAAATGATGAAAGTCAAAAATAGAATTAAATATAATTGCTAGCTTTTCATTACATATAAATACATCCTTTATTATTAATAATAATTTGTTCAATACATATAATAGATAAATATCATCTTACTATCTCGATTTTGCATTGTACAGTCTTTAACATTGCTTTTAACTTATGGTCAATTGATTGCTTCGTCGATATCAAGTAACATATAAGAATAACGACTATTTTTAATTTACTAAATTTATATATTTATCTATATTTATATATTATATTGAATACAAAAATCTTAGCAAAGTATTCATGCTTATGACATTGAAGATAATTTGATCTACAATCTTTATTGAATACTCGGGACTAAATCACATAATCATGCACGCTATCTATCTAACTGCTCCCGATTGTTAACGTTGAGAATCAATATGACATACAATTACTGTAAAACAGAGATTTTACAATTATTATAAAATAGCAATTGATTACTTCTTGTAAATGAATATTGAGTATATTTATAACGATTAGAATACTCCACGAAAGTAGGATGGGCTTGTTCCACTAGAAAATTGAAATTTAATGATCGATTGTCTTCAGCCTTGTTATACAATTTGTTCTCATATTTAAATCAACTTTTCCACATTCTGTTAGATTTTACCTATGATCAATAAATTTTTATGTATCTATGCAAATTAAAATGATTCACAAAGTTATACATTTTTTATCCTTTCTCTTAGAACAGTTACAAATATAAATAACTATCAGCTGACAAGGTTGGACTATCATTAAAAGTCGATATTAATCACTGGAGATTACAAGAAGTATTATCAAATCTAGACTAAAAAGGAAGTCCATCCATTGAATACCTATCATATTTTTTGGTACACAGCGGAAACTTTTTGGTCAACTATATCATCAACGTACTTTTATCTACTTAAATTGTCTCATTTGTAAATGTATTTATAAATCAACGTTCAATAATCATCGATAACTTAATCATTTCGTTTTTTTTTCATGCTCTTTCTTAACAAATTTTCGTCTCGCTAATTGTACTCATATTCCTACTAATACGAATTTGCAAATTCGGATGAAATCGAGAAAGTCCTCTTTCAGAGTCCTCAGGAAAGGAGCGACATGATTCTCTCCGAAAAGATTGGTTCCGTTGCATGCAACGGGAATCAAAAACGCGCGAGAAGGGTGCTATCGATCTTAGACAGTTGTCTCGTCTAAGATCGATCGGAAATTCTAGGTATTGGTAGTGTCGTAACTCTTATACGTGTGAGATGATCTCTTGTGCCTGACTGTGCAGAAGAGAATCATGCTGGCCACCTGGCCGAATAGCTGAAGAAAAGCCACGACGAGGCCCACCGTTCCCACCACGTGGAGTCTGGTTACCAGCCACATTTGAATGGCGGTCGCGCATCCTTCCTTATACCAGAGTTCCTTGTTACGACCTTCTGAATCTAGGCGACCGCAGTATCGTTCCCGCTGCATGCAGCAAGAATCCGGAACCCGATCCTCCTCTGGCCACGCCTCGATTTGGAACCAATCCGTATAATCGCGTACGCCGCAACAATGAAACTGCAAGCGTACATTTAAAACTATATCATCATATTAAGCGTTTACTTAAGACTTATTCTTTGTCTCTGCACTGGAGAGTCTTTGTCTTTGCACTGCACTAAAATTATCTTTCTTATCAAACGTCAAATATGTATTTGTTTTATTTTACATGTAACCCAGTATACATATATTATTAGTTCAGCCACAAAAAAAACAGATCTTAATTTAATATCCTATGCAATATGGAGTAGTTGATCTTTTAACTACACGAAAAAAAGTTTCTTTAAAAAAAGTTTCTTTAAAATAAATTAAGGAAATACAGGAATCTATAACACCTCGTGTGGTATTTTGCAAATATTAATTAAATAATTAAACAAACCTCGGTATGTATATGGTCCCACATGGCAGAAAGTGTTCCCGGCTCCCTCGTAATATTATAATGCTTCTCAATGCCATACAATAGCTCCTCCTTCAAGCTCCTCGCAAGATGTTCTCTGAACACGAACGCCAAGGTGCCCAACATGAACTCGGCGAGAAACATGAGTATTACCAGACTGAAATACTGAAAATCACGGGAAGTGTAAACATTCTCTCTTCCTATTATTAATTACATAAGGCATCTCTTTTTGCAAGTTTTGAGATTTTCAAAAGCCTTTTAATTATTCTAACACTTATTTCTTTCACCAAGAGAAAACAAATATTAAAAGAGCAGGAAAAAAGATCTCATATTCTATGTAATTACTACTATACACGCAAGGTATCATATAATATGCAAACGAATTTATCGATCCGTCACGTATTGCGTCACATACTACACAAATTATGTGTATAAACTATGTATAATAAAAAGAATATTTTGTTTTGCTTAGAGCAGGCAGATTTATCTTAACGTCAGCTAAGGATGAGCAAAACAAACGAGGAAAAAAGATGATTTTTAAAAAATGTAGTCAACATGGACAGCATGCGTATTGCTCTGTGACAAATTATTCAAATGACAACCAGAAATTCGAATCACGATCTACTGACGACAAAGATATTCAAGATTGTCAAGTTATAAGCTTCAGTCCGTGCGCCGCATATGTTGTGTAGTATACTGCGTGCGTATGACAGAAAGTCGGTAAGTATACTGTACCACGCGTGCTTTTTGCAAGGCACGTGTTTTACAATGTATCACGTTGTACTAACCGTGATCAGCATGCATCTTGACTGGAACCACGCGCCACAACATCCGAAGAAGGCGATGACGAATGTGATGCATCCCGCGGCGAGCAGCAGCGAATCCGCCGACACGAAGCTGTACTGCGGTACCAAGGTCGCGTATCCAGAGTAAGCTAGTCGCAGCCAAAGGCCCGCACCCAAAATTCCACAAGCGCATAACTGTAAAACAAATTACGCGCGTCAATTACTCCGCGCGTCATAAACGTTTGACTTTCGACGGACGTACTTAAAACGCGGATCCATTGAAGTCGAAATTATAGTATATAGGATGGGAAATACGTAGTACAATCGGGAAGAGGGTGATTCTACGGCTTAAACTGAGAGAAATAAAAGAATAAATTTTTTTTAACAACAAATTTTTTTTTTAATTCTGAATGTATAATATTATCCTGAACATTAAAAGTGTCCAGTGGTCGTTATTGACCGTTTTAGTTTTTAGATTTAAATTTTATTTCTTGTCTAAAAGATAGACGTTTAGAAATTTTTTGACTTTTCGATAATTATGTTTTTTACATTAATGAAATATTTAGGTTTTCATTTTCTTTATTTTCATAGTAACTTGTTCACTTGGTTCTTTTAATGAGTGAGAAACGTTGGCACTTCAAGTGTTAAAAGGAAAAATTATTCTTTCACATTAAAAAAATTAAAGAGACAGAATACGTTAGAAGCAATCCATTTTAATTAAATTTGCAGAATTCAACTTTGTATACAACAAAATGGCCAACCAGTTCAACAATATCACAATTATGTAAGAAATAAATGTATAAAAAATGATATTAATCTTTGTTTTATACAAATTCATTCATGTATCTTATGGAACTGATTGAATTAGTTAATCCTAGTAAAAAAAATCAGATTGTCTGTAGCAAAAATTATTACGTCAAATATCATTCAAGTGCACATGTACGTAATTTTCAAGTTATTTTTTTCAAAAACACCTTATGCAAAAAAATTATTCTACCATTTTGATTTATTTTAAACCAAATCATCTCCTTTCCGTTATGTCATATATTTCGGCCGACCTTGTATAGTATGATTGTACACAGACAAATGATTATATTGAGTATTTCAAAATTGCTGAACTTTCTTTCAATCATAGTTTTCACGGCCTTTTATTGTGAAAATATTTTGATTCGGTTAAGAAATCTGCAGCGAAAGCGATATTCGATATTTTTGGAACATTATATTTACAAGTAAATATATGTCATTTATTGGTAAACGATATTTTCATTCAAGAATTTAATATAAATTATATATTTATAAATAATTAAAATATTTAAAAGAGTTTATAGCTGTCGCAATTTATCCAGCTGATAATTGTAACGAACTGTCTCATATGTAGATTGAATGGATATAAATTGTTACAAGTACTTTTAATTAATGTGAAGTAAATAAATTATAATTTTACAAATATTTATAATAATTATTTGGTTAGTTACCAAAAATTATCACATAAAGAAAGCGTAATTAGTTCCAGGTCTCCCCTACTGAAAGATCTAGAAAATTATAATTAAAAGCATCGAGAGATCCTTATCACACGCCACTCATAGTACATGAGTTCATTGGGTCAATGACGCGTTTTATTCGACTGTTGCCTACAATATACGCTCGATAACAAAGCTATCTCGGATTCTCGTTTATGCTGCGTTTAAGTAAAATCGGAAAGTGGAAAGTGGACCGTGGATTAGAAAGTATCGCGATGCATTTCGAATCGTCGATGCGGAAGGAAGATCGATGCCTACGGTTGACAGCCATCGCGAAATTCATTTAACTCACGGTCAATGCACCAACGAACGTGTGACGAGTAAATGGCAAAATCACATCATGACATTTCTCGCATTCGCGATAAAAATTAAAATAACAACGAAACTGTGCAACGATATTTCACTAATTGCAGCAAAGTATATCGGATGTCGATGCGGTCACCCGTATACATTTAACGGTTTATCGTCCACCTGCTAACTTATTCGCAAACACAGAGAGATTGTCCAGCCTATGTACGTAAGAGAGTACTGCAGATTTTCTGGGTAAGTCGGCGGTTACCTTGCTGTGCTATCAATGACAGGAAGTTGACTGAAACGACTAGGTGAAAATTGACCTTACGGTTAATTCATCCTCTAAAGTGCAATATATCGTTGCGACACGCAATAGCAACGTCCTTCATTATCAAATTCAACTGTAAATGATGAGACCAACATGTTTACACGCAGCAAGTAACATCTGCGGAAGAACCGCAACGTAATTTATAAATTACAACTTCTGCAACGCAGCATGATTGAGAAATTAATGCACTGTTATGCGACCCCGATAGCTAATTGTACAAAAGAGCGCATCCGTACTTTCTAATTACCGTCAATGATGCGTGCGCGAAACGAGACGTTTTTGCAACAACGTTACATAATTTGCAATAACGTGTCATTGGCCATCAAATATTTGGTCTGTATCGTCATCAAAATATTATTAAAACGTTAAATAATTTAAAATATTTGGTCTGATGTATAAAATAATATAATGTAAGTGTAATTAAATAATTTAATAATTTAATATAATTTAATATAAATTTTTTATATAATTGAAAATATGATTTATATAACAGTGTATCTCTTATCTGTCTTTTTAAGAACTTTTGAATTTGAAGTAATACCTAATGAATCTAATGAACTCCAGACTGTCTTACCCAGTTTGGAGTTCGTGCAACGAATTGCAATTAGAGTATCAAAGTGAAACAGAGTGACAATAGGTAACGCATTTCACAGCATAAAGAACATAAAGACACGTGTACCAGTTTTACAACATACAGAGCAATCGGTACCGCACTTTATTGTCGACTTACGGGTACCGTAAGTTCATAACTCATAGAGCACGGTTCAACGCCCTATTTAAGGCTTTCATCGCGATACAGACGCAGGCGGACGATTTCAAGTGGAATAATAAAGCCGGGGGAACGGCGAATGCGGAGGAATGCGGCGCAAATTACAAAAGCGCGTCGTCGGTTTAATCGCCGATCCGCGTGGGTCGTTAAATACCGCCGGCCGGCTATTGTCTCATTTCTGTCATTTCTGACCAATTGGAGTCGCACACTTGCACTGTATACGCATGTACACTCGTGTTTACGAATTATACACAGCAACGAAATATTTCATTTAAATTGAAATGTTCTCACACATATCTTTCCAACGCGAACGAGTTGTTTAAATATAGCTCAAGTGCCATTTTCGAATAATTCGCAAAGTACATCAATCTCAAAAGAAGTAGCCGAAAGCAAAAGCTACTTTATCTAAAAATAAAAAATTAAGATGTTGAATTTGTTTGCCCGTGAATTTGTTTGC